TGGCCAAAAAAGCATATTAAAAGACATTCAACCAAATTAAAACAATGAGATACCATTACACATCTATTAAAATGGCCAAAACCCACTGTGACACCACCAAATGCTGACAAGGATGTGGAGCAGCAGGAACTCTCATTTATTGCTGGTGGTAATGCAAAATGGTTTGGCCACTTTGGAAGACAGTTTGGCAATTTCCTAAAAACTAAGCATACTCTCACCATACCATCCAAATATCCCTTTCCTTGGTATTTACTCAAATGAACTAAAACATTCATGTAAAAACCCGCACACAGATGTTTACAGCAGCTTTATTCATAATTGCCCAAACTTGGAGTTAACCAACATGTCCTTCAATAGGTGAAAACATAAACAGTGGTACATCCATATAATGTTAACAATAATCAAGATCGAAATGAGCTTTCAAGCCATGAAAAGACTTGGAGGAAACTTATTTGCTTTTTACTAAGTGAAAGAAGCCAATATGAAAAGGCTACATACTGTATGGTTTCAAACACATGGCACTATACAGAAGGCAAAACTACGGAGACAGTAAATAGATCAGAGGTTGCCATGGTTAGGGGGAAGGAGGGATGAACAGGTGGAGCACAGAGGAACTTTATGGCTGTGAAACTGTTCTACAAGATACTACATGGTTGACAGATGTCATTATACATTTGTCAAAACTCAGGCCGATTGTGGTGGCTCACATCTGCAATCCTAGCACTTTGGGAGGCCAAGGCAGAAAGATCCCTTGAGCCCAGGAGGTCGAGGCTGTGGTGAGCCATGCTTGCACCACTGAACTCCAGCCTGGGTAACAGAGTAAGACACTGTCTCAAAAAACAAAAAACAACAACCACCCATAGAAAAGTGAGGCCTAACGTAAACTACAGACTCTGGGTGATTATGATGTGTGATGTAGGTTTATCAATTGTAACAAATGTACCACTCTGGTGCGGGATGTCAATAGAGGGCTAGGTTGTGCATGGTTGGGGGGCAGGGGGTATATGGGAACTCTGTACTTTCTGCTTAATTTTGCTATAAATCTGGCTGGGTGCGGTGGCTCATGCCTGTAATCCCAGCACTTTGGGAGGCCGAGGTGGGCAGATCACATGAGGTCAGGAGTTTGAGACCAGCCTGGCCAACATGGTGAAACTCCATCTCTGTTAAAAATACAAAATTAGCCGAGTGTGGTGGCACGTGCCTGTAATCCCAGCTACTCGGAAGACTGAGACAGGAGAATTGCTTGAACCCTCACTGCAGAGGTTGCAGTGAGCTGAGATCGTGCCACTGCACTCCAGCCTGGGCGACAGAGTGAGATCCGTTTCCAAAAAAAAAAAATTTGCTATAAACCTAAAACTTCTCTGAAAAATAAAGATTTTTAATTAAGAAACAAAAACCACAGAGAGATATCACCTTATACCTATTAGGATGGCTACCATCATAAGAGCAGAAAATAAATGTTGGTGATTACAGGGAGAAAATAGAACCTCGTGCACTGTTCAAAGGAATGTAAAATGTACAGCTACTATGGAAAAGTTTGGCAGTTCCTTAAAAAAATAAAAATAGATTTACTATATGATCAGTCCAGCAATTCCACTTCTGGGTACATACTCAAAACAATTGAAAACAAGATCTCAAAAAATATTTGTTCATAGCAGCATTATTTACTATAGCTGAAACATCAAAGTAACCCAAGTATCCGTGGACAGACTGAATAGATAAGCAAAATCGTGTGTGTGTGTGTGTGTGTACACACAATGGAATTCAAGTATTCATGGACAGGTTGAATGGATAAGCAAGATCTAGTGTGTGTGTGTGTGTGTGTGTGTACAGAAAATGGATTATTTTTTAGCGTTAAAAAGGAAGGAAATTCTGACATGCTTCAACATAGAAGAAACTTGGAGACAGTAGGCTAATTGAAGTAGGCCAGTCACAAAAAGCCAAAAACTGTATCATTTCACTTACATGACATACATAAAGTAGTCAAAACCACAAAGACAGAAAGTAGAATGGTCGTTTCCAGCAGCTGGGAAGACGAAAGAATAAGGACTTTAATGGGTATAGAGTTTCAGTTTTGCAAGATGAAAAATGTTCTGGAAATAGATGGTGGTGATGGTTGTAAAACAATGTGAATGTACTTAATATCACTAAACTGTATAATTAAAAATGCTTAAGGTGGTAAATTTTAAGTTACATGTATTTTACCATAATAAAAAATGGAAACATAATTTTTTGGAAATAATTCTATATTTTTCTTTTTATTACTATAAGAATTTAGGAATTTATAAAGTGATAATGGAAGCTGACAGAAAATAGTAAGTCATATAATAAAGTATGTATCATTTACCCACGGTAGGTTTTACTACAAACTACACTGGGTAATTTTATAATTTTATAACTATAACTTTGAGTCAACACCCTCAGCCATAGTTGCCTATGTGACCAGCCAACTCTGAAGGCTTAACATTTTAAATATCTGATTTATACTACAAAATAAAAAACTATTTTAAATAGTTTGGGAAAAAATAAGCCAAGTCTAAAAAATATGTAATTACTGTCTAACTCATTCATGAACAAGGACATAAAAATTCATCAAAATAACAGCAAACTGAATCCAGCGACATGCAAAAATTGTGTTTAACCCAGAAAAGCAAGTTTATTTAATGCTAGAAAATTAATTAATGTTAATTCATTACAGTAACAGATTAAAGTAGGGGGAAATACACAGAATCATCTAAACGGATATAGAAAAGCATTTCATGAAATTTAACATTTATTCATTTCTTTTTAAAAGTGCTCAAAGCATGATGAGGACATGTTAAAAGGAAAGAGAAGTCAGCTTGAATAGTTGGACAAGTGTGGAACAATTTGAGCATCAACATAAATAACAAAAATAATGTATTACACTGTACTGACTAAAATAGATGTCATTTTCTTTTGGACACAAGACAAACTGGTAAAAGATCTGAATAGGAATTTACAACAATGGAAACATGAAGGGTGTATAAACATACGAAAAGATGCTCAGCTTCATTATGAATCAGAGAAAATGCAAATTAAGGTCACAAGATACCGTTTTACATGAACAAGACTGATAAAATAAAAAAGGATGTAGAATAACATAAGCTGCTATTTGAATGACACATTGCTTTTGGAAGTAGTCCAATCATTTTAGAAAAACAACTTGGTATTTATAAAGTTGAACATGTACATAATTTACCACCCAACAAGTTTACTACTAGGTAAACACCCTAGAGATACTCTCAACGTATGTGCCCTAGGAGATATGTGAAGAATATACAGAATTATTTATAACTAAAAAAAGAAGTTGAGGGGAGAGGAGAGAACCTAAATGTCCTTCAATAAGAAAATGAATGAATGAATTATCCTTTATTTATATGATGGAAACTATAAAGCAGTGAAAATATTTGAATTCTAGCTACATATAAGTAGCAGAAATCTGAGTGAAAAAAATAGTATTTATAAAATAATGCCATTTGTATAAACCTTACAAAGAATGTGAACATTTAATAAAAATATATATTATTTAGTAATCCACATATGGTAAATTTATAAAGAAAGGCAAATTGATTACAATTCAAAAAGTCAGAGTAGTGGTTACCTCTAGGAGCAGTGAGGGGATGAGCTCAGGGCAGACAGGACTTAAAAGTAACAATAAGGTTCTATTTTCCATTTGGAGAATAGGCTCCCGGTTGTTTATTTTATGACTGTGTTTATAATTTCCTTACACATTAAAAATGTTCTTTTATATGTATAAATTATTAAGAAAATGAAAATGGGATATTATGACAACTGTAAAATTATCAGGAAAAGAAAACATCAAAATTATAAAAACTAAAGAAAGAGAGGACAAATGTTTGTTTTTAAAGGATAACCATTCAAGAACATCAACCAACCGGCTTTAGGGTCTTTGTTCTAGCTGTTCCACCAACCTAGAGATCAGTTTCTTTCATATCTACTCGGCTAATTCCTTCTCCTTCTTCCAATCTCTGTTCTACTCCCCCTTCTCAAGAAGACCTACCCTGACCACCTCATTTGATTTTTCCATCTCCTACCCCCGACCTTGGTGCTCCTTATTTGCCTTACCCTGACCTTTTCTTTCTTCTAAAATCTTTTTTTGCATTTTTTGATAGAGATGGGGTCTCACCCAGACTGGTCTTAAACTCCTGGGCTCAAATGTCCTCTTGCCTCAACTTCCCCAGGCCACCATGCCTGGCCTAAAATCCTTATCACCTTCTAACATCCTACATAAATTTACCCATTTACTATGTTTATTATTTATCTTCTGTCTTCCCTCCTTCCCCCATGCTGTTAGAATGTAGTAATATGAATGCTGGTTTGTTCCACATGCCTGGATAGTTGACACTCAGTAAATGAACTTTTTTTCTTTTTTGTAGAGACATGGTCTTGCTATGTTGCCCAGGCTGGAGTGCAGTGGCATGATCATAGCTCACTGCAATCTCAACCTTCTGGGTTAATGCAATCCTCCCACATCAGCTTCCTAAATAGTTAGTACTACAGGCATGTGTCACCATGCTAGGCTAATTTTATTGTATTTTTGTAGAGATGAGCTCTGGCTCTGTTGCCCAGGCTGGTTTCAAACTCCTGGCCTCAAGTGAACCCCACCTTGGCCTCTCAAAAGTGTTGGGATTACAGGCGTGAGCCACCATGTTGGGCCCTTCTACTTCATTTTAACAGACAGCTCCTGGATAATATATCAATCACATGTTTCTGTTTCATAAATTATTTCTTTTACTGATAATGCATTAAGTTGGGCACAACTTCAATCAGATAATATGACCCAAATTAAATTTTTGTGAGTGGTCTATCAAAACAAGGTCTGTTGATTATATCACAATGTTTGAACAACATTTGTTTTAGTTATGAAATTGTTACAACTAGTTTCAACCATGAACAAATCAAATATTAATCAGGAGTTTAAGGGCAAAAAATGGAAGAGAACAATAAAAAATTATTACCATGTGTATATAAATGACCTTCCGTAATTTACATATATCAATGTACCCAACAACATATACTGCAAATAATGATGCAATCTGAAATTTAAAAAGAAATTAAAAGTAAAAAAGATAAAATAGCTACAAGAATGAAGAATATATTTATTGTTGTTTCAACTGATTTATATATACACACAGAGTGAGTTCTTTTGTCTTCCTTTTATCTGCCAATTTATTATTATAGTCAATATATTAGTATAGAAAATATTGGTTGATTTTTCTCTCTGATACACAGCTCTCTCAATCATGTGAATTGTCTACTTTGTCGATTGTCCAAAACAATACTCATTTTAATTTCAGGTCAACCCTACTGTCAATACGTACAATTAAAAAGTGCTTTGTCCAATCAAAAAGAAGAAAATGTAATTATAATATGATAACTAATACATAATTGGGGAAGGTACATTAAACTGAAAAATAATTATGCAATGCATGTGTGCATAAAAATACTTTAATTTCTCCTTGCTAGTCACTCTATCTCTATTAGCGTTCTTTCATTAATACAAATATTCAAGAGTTAGTTATAATCAAATTTATCAATTTCAAATCAAGGGTACTTTTGCTGCAAAGGTATTTTTAACTTTCTTTTCTATTCGAAAGAAAACTGTATGTTATATATCACTAATTCTAAGAGTATTGGAATTATTTAGATGAATTAATTGATTAAATGATTATACAGTATCTTACATAGAGGTAATACGTCAGACAATGCCTCTACACCCTTCCTCATAGAGAAAGCAACTCAAATTAAATTCTCCCTGTCCTACTACAAAAGCATAGTATAAACAGATTGCAAAGTAGCTGAATACTTAAACATATAACTTAAGTTTCATTCATCAAGTTTTTTTATCTCTAAAGCAATCTACAACAAATTTTTCCATTAGTGAGTAAAACAACACAGTTTCCCTTAATTCAGAGTTACCCATGGAGAATACTGCATTTCTTGGGGTGCCTGATATGACATAACAACTGTGGGGAAGTGTGTGTTATTATTCAACATAAGCCCCACAGGGACCTTCACCTCCACAGAAAAGCAGGCAGTGTCCACTATCAGGAAGCAATGAGAATGCTCCCTTTTCACCCCAAGGGCTAAGCAACACACAGTACATTTACAGGGTAGAATTTTAAAGAGAGAATCTCAGAGACAATTTTAAACCAGAAACTGATTGAAAATGTCATCAAACTAAGTTAGACAAATGAGTCTGCAAGATAAGATCAAAATAAAAAGTAAGTACAAATAAAGCCTATTTTTTAAAATAATGATAAAACCAACTAACTTTACTGACACCTACTAAGTACCAGGTACCATGTTAAGAATCATACACATTACTTCATCTGGTCCTATCTGCAACCCAATAAAGTAGGTTCTTTTATTATCTCTATTTCAGAAATGAGAAAATCTAAACTAAGAAAAGTTAACTATTTTATCCAAATTAAGAGGTTACTGAATAGAATTAGGACTCAAATCCAAGTCTAACTTCATTTCCAAGCAAGACGTTCTAAAAAATATTTAAAAGCAGCCAGGCGCGGTGGCTCACGCCTGTAATCCCAGCACTCTGGGAGGCCTAAGCGGGCAGATCACAAGGTCAGGAGATCAAAACCATTCTCGTTAACACAGTGAACCCCATCTCAACTAAAAATACAAATAATTAGCCGGGTGTGGTGGCACGCACCTGTAGTCCCAGCTACTTGGGAGGCTGAGGCAGGAGAAACGCTTGAACCCAAGAGGTGGGGGTTGCAGTGAGCCAAGATTATGCCACTGCACTCAAGCCTGGGTGACAGAGCAAGACTCCATCTCAAAAAAAAAAAAAAAAAAAAAAAAAAGCAACTCTTCAACTGCTTTATAAAAATATACCAGGTACAATAAAAAAAATAGTAGGCAGGGAAAAAAATGAGTATGTAATTCACTCCCTCTCTCAACAAACGACCTCCATTTATAGTGGGCAAGAGTTCATGGAAAGACAATAGATAAATTTCCAGACAGGTAGAGAGAATTTTATAAGAGATGAACTGGTTAACTATTTATCCTGTAATCCTATGTGTCTTTATTCTATGTGCAAGAATGTACACAACTATTCATAAAAGAAACATTTTACGTAAGAGAAATACTATAGATAACTTAAGAGAAATACTTAAAGTTATAGCACTAGTCCTCTTTTAAGCACATTAACAATACTGAATAACAAAGATAAGCATTCTTACAAATTTGAGTTCAATAAATGCATTATGTTAGGAAGTAAATAATTAACAATCATTAATAAATAATCCTACATATTTCTCTACCCTGAACTTTCTTTTGTTCAACATTCCTAGAAAATGTTTTAGGACTTAGAATCATAGAACATCTCAGTTATAATTTTATGCAAATGAGTTGACATAGTCAAAAATGCTAAGCTTAAAGCAGCTTAAAATATAATCAGCTCACCTGAGTAAGAAGCACAAATTGAGCAAACTGCCAAGGAAGCATGAAAAATACATTGGAAATGCAGAGTGCAATCACACTTCCTCTATAAAGTTTTGTAGCCCTTGAAAAGATAAAATAAGCATTAGTAAGTTCAAACACAAAATAGTCTAGCATGGCTCCAAACTGCTGCAAATTAGAATCTCTAAATATATATGATCTGGTTATAACACAACATAAACATAAAATGAACCAATGGGTTAGAAATTATACCTCCTGATACTCAATTACAACAATTTTCTTTGAAAGGTAAATACCCATTATTGCTAATAATAACACAGAGAGAAGGAGGGTGGCTGGGTCAGTATATCCATGAACATTTTTTTCAAATTATATTTTGGTGAATCCATGTCTGAATATTTAAAAATACGGATTCAACAGATTCATTAGTTAGAAAGGCAGGAGATGCCTGTGAAAAGATGACAGCAGTATATTTTAAGTGCTAAGTATTATACAGACAACTAGTGCAAGAATGTAGAATAAGAGCTAAGCGGCTGAGAGAGATTTCGTAAGCTTGTGAGATAAAAAGTTGGGTCTGGCACAGGTAGGAGAACACAGAAAAGTGGAGGAAAAGATATGGGGGCCATTCTGAAGCAATCTTTAGAGATCTCATTTTGGCACTGACTTGTAATTTAGGAGATTTTTAGGAGGGTAAGATGATTTTATCCTCTAAATCTGCGAGCCAACGCAAAGCCCCACACATGTCCATCTTCACAGAAGCGGAGTGTGCATGTTAATATACTGAGGTGATGAAGTGTAGGCAGCTTGGATACAGTAAAGACATCCTGGTTAGACAAACCTACCTGGAGCATAGAGCACCATTACGAAACGCCTTTCTTCACTTCTGGAAGTATCCCTTCCCCAAAGGACATCCCTCTCTGCTATTTTAATCCAACAAAAGTACTTTTAAACTCCAGATAACCTTTTAATGAGTTATGAAATCAACTTATGGAATAAAACTCAGCATTTAAAAATGGAGATCAGCAGAGTGAAACGGAATATATATGAGTATATCCTACTTACGAGGGGTTCTATTCTGTGAAACTTTTGTTTCAGTTGTGTGCATACATGTATGTGTATACTAAGCCACAGTATAAAACTTATTATTTCTTACAGATCATAGTCCGAAAGTTTGAAAGCCACTGTCTAAAATAAAGCATTTCTCTACTGCTTTTGAATACTAAATATGATTTTCATTTTATGGGTAATAAGAGACATTAAGATTTCTGAGCAGAATTTAATACCAATCTGGCAGTTGGGTAAAGAATGCACTATGCGGAGATAGGAATGAACAGAAAACAAAGAAAATCCAATTGGTGATCAAAATAGCTCTGACCCAAGACAACAGAAATGGAAACATAAATACTGCCAAGAATAATTAAAAAAAAAAAAAGCTAAGAACAATCAAGAAAAAGCTCAGCTAAGCTAGTATTAGGTGATTATATAAACTGAATTTCTAAAAATGCTTAAAATGCAAAACTGGACAAAACCAATTTGTTAAAATATACCACTAACCTTATTTATACATGATTCCTAGCATTAAGGAATAGTCTCCTTTCCAGTTTTATAACAGTATCCTCAGCACTGCAGCCTGCATCAACACTGCTCAGCTTCTTCTTGGCTCCCCCAAGCCATCACCACCCACCACCTCCCTCTCATGTCACAATATGTCAACTACAGGTAGAAACCAAGAACTAAAGGAAATGGCTGCTCTTCCAAAGGAGACAATGTCAGTAAGAAGGATGAAATATCAGAAGATGAAGATGGCCAATAGAGAGAAGGTTGCTATCCTTCAGAAAAAAAGACTGCAGTGTCCAAGAAAGCAAAATGAAAGCCCACACTTCCAAGCAAGCAGTCACAGCCACACCAGGCAAGCAGGGAGCCATGCCAACTAAGGAGCATAACCAGGAAAGCCATCGCAATCAGAAGTGACAAGCTGCCAATGAAGATGGCGAGGAAGACCAATATGGGATGGATCTGAACCAGGAGTGGTGAAAGCAGCAGCTGATTCAGCTTCAGATGGCCAGGAATATGAGAAGGGAAATGTCAACCAGAATATAAACAGAGACAATGAAGAAGGCTCTAAAGAAAGTTTCTAAAAGTTTTCAGCAAAAAGTAAAGACAGGTATGAAGAGGTGGGTAAGGCTGAAAATGACAATGATAAGAGGCTAAAGAAGACATAAAAAGCTTGTCACAGAAGCACCTGGAGCCAAAAACAGAGAAGGACGCAACAGAAGGCAGCCCTTAAAGGCAGGAAACAGCAACTGGAGAGGCCCCATCCTGGAAGGCAGAATAATGGCCTCCAAAAATATCTGTGCCCTAATCCCTGGAACCTGTGAACATGTCATGTTGCATGGCAAAGGGGAACTAGGGCTGCAGACGGAATGAAGATGACTAATCACGTGACCTCAACAGTAGGGAATGTATCCTGGATTATCCAGGTGGGCCTGATGTAACCACAGGGTACATAAAAGTGGAAGACAGGCTGAAGAGAAGGTTGGAGTGAACTGACAAGGACCCAATCCACCATTGCTGGTTTTGATGATGAAGGAGCCACAAGCCAGGAAATGCAGGTGGTCTCCCAAGAAATGCAGGTGGTCGCCCAAGAAATGCAGGTGGTCTCCCAAGAAATGCAGGCAGCCTCTTAAGAAAGGCAGGCGGTCTCCCAAGAAATGCAGGCAGCCTCTAGAAGCTAGAAAAGGCAAGAAAATTGATTCTCTCCCCTCCCACTCTGCGCCTTCCCGAAGAGTGTAGCACCTCCAATACCCTGATTGTAAAACTTCGGAGCTAGAGAACTCCAAGACAGTAGATCCCAGTTTGTGGTGACTGGCTACACAGCAACAGGAAACTAACACTACCTTCCATGGTGCAGATGGACTAAAGGAAGCAGCGCTCAGTCCCCGGAGCAGCATCCGCACAGCTACTCAGGGACAGATCAGATCAGTGAGTGAAAGAAGATTCAAAGGTTTGCCTTCACTGGATTTAAGACAAGAGCAGAGGTAGAAAAGCAGGAAGGAACTAGAGACTGATGGGCAGTCTGCTGTCTGCACTATACTGGAGAAAAAAGCCATGGTCAAGAATGTGAATGTGGAAAAACAGCATCTGTGGTGGTGAATCAAAGACTCTTATAGCACAACACTTCTTACAGAGATGTTTGAGAAGGGACCGTTGCTCAACATGCCTCAGAACCAACAGGGCACAGCTAAAGGTTATGAATTCATAGAGGTTCACCTCATTTGAATGTGCCAAAGAATTAAACCCTACAAAAGAGTTTAGGGGACAGCAATAAAGCTGGAGCTACACAGACTTTAAAAAGCTAATGCAAAAACATTACTCATCCCATGTTCTATGAAAGGTCTGTCTAAAGACACTACTATGTAGGAGACTAAAAGCCATGTGATGGTTCTATGCTTGCTGTAACATTCAGAGGGAAATAGATTGCCCAAAGCGTTTGGCATAACAGACTTCAACAAAGTTCTTCCGAATTCGGAGGATCACTGAAGGGAGTTATCGGTCTGAGTCATCTTCAGATTTTTATCATGCTTTGTTCCATTTTTCCATAGCCCCCATTTGGTTTCATTTTTACCCTCTGAAGCAAGGCAGGTCAATATTTGTCAGCAGAAAGGGAGAGAAGTGTGAATTCTGTGAATTACACTTTGCCCCAAAGGATTGTATCTTACAGGATACACTATAGCATAACCAGCCTTCACCTTCTTTCTGCTCATTATCAGGAGGCTATAGTGGTAACAGAAGAAGACTTGAGAAAGTGGAAATGACAGGAGAAGTGAAAGCAAATTTGCTCCTTCTCAAGCAGTCACTGTGGACCACCAAGAAAAAGGAACAGGAATAGAAGGCTGACAGAAGAAATGTTTTTGGTACTATTTTTAAGTTATACTCTTAAAATATTTTTACTAATAACAGCATCATATTGGTTAATTATTTTATTACGTTGACTTTATTATGGAAGCTTAAGAAATTCTAGTTTAAATTATTTAATGCAAAAAGAAATAAGGTTAAGTCAAAGTTACCTGAGAATATGAGTCACAAGCAACATTTGAAGAACAAGAAATGCATATGAGAAGCTTTCAGGGAGAGGTGGTGTCCACATTACACAGGTACACTGAAAAAAAAAATTCATAGTATAGTACACTTGCTAAATTTACTAAGACAGACATTCCAAGTAAAAATTGCTATTTATAAATAAAATAAAATTATTTTTAACAAATAATTTAAATGGCGTGTTGTAAAACAAACTACTGGACTTTATTCCACAGACAGCAAAACTAGCATGTGAGAAATATTATTGACAGAGAAACACATGGCTTAAGATCATGTAAAGCATTAGTATCATGAATTGTCAACAAGAAAATACCAAAAAAGATGCAACTACATCTTAAAACGAAAGGGAGGAAAAGTACCAGCAAGAAAATGTTCTGTCAAATTTCAGAATATTTTGAGTTGATTATTTATCTATTGTCTGTCTTCTTTCCCATGAATTTCAGCAAAACTATCCATAACTAGTACTTGAGAACTCTTTGTAGTCATCAATTTTAGTATTTTCATTCAGTGCTGCTACAAAAGAATATTCCATTTTTGGTTTTACTTCTTTGCCTAAGCTACCCTGGGTTGCAAAATATTTAAAAGTAGGTGGTAGAATCAAATTAAGTAACAAAAGTCCTAAAATTGTTAAGCAAAAACCTTTCTGAAAAGCTCACTTTGGACATAATTAAGCAATGTACTATCACGGTTGCAATAATGTCATTTTTCTGTATATATACTAAATATATTAGTAAGTTCATCCTTCCATCAACAGAAAACCACATAGAATTAAATGCAAGCAATCTGATATTATTAAGTCACACTAAAATAAATTATGATGTCTTTCAGTGCAAGCAGGGATGACAAAGACTCCACAGAATGGCAAAGACCATGTCAGAAATAAGTGTTTCCTATATTTTAGCTCTACCTCAGACCACTGAATATTTCTAATACTGCTATAGAAAGACTGAGTCAATTCACTCCTCTTTTCTACCAAGCTCACCATCCTCTATGAAAATGATATACATATCTATTTATGAATGAACTACTCCCACAAGGGAATGCTGAAAAGATCTGTTGATAATGTATACCGTCGTTACTGAATATTACTGAATGTCTGTTGATAATGTATACTGTTGTAACCAGAATGCAATTTTTAAAAGTTGTTAGTTTATTGGATTAACTGGAGAGTTCAGTAGGATTGACAGTAAGATACATGGGCAAAACACATTTCATTGCCCTTTACTATGCTTCGCAGATAACGTCTGTCACAAATTGAAGGTTTGTGGCAACCCTGCCTCAAGCAAGTCTATCAGTGCCATTTTTCCAGTAGCAGGTGGTCACTTCACGTCTCTGTGTCACGTTTTGGTAATTTTCATAATATTTCAACATTTTCTTTTCTTTTTTTTTTTTTTTTTTTTTTTGAGAAGAGCCACCCCCAGCTGGAGGTCATGGCACAATCTCGGCTAACTGCAAGCCTGCCTCCCAGGCTCAAGCCATCTCGCCCTGTCCTCCTGAGTAGCTGGACTACAGGTGTGCCTGCCACCTCACCCGGCTAATTTTTTTTGTGTGTGTATTTTTTTAGTAGAGACAGAGGTTTCTCCGTGTTAGCCAGAATGGTCTTGATCTCCTGACCTCGTGATCCGCCCACCTCGGCCTCCTAAAGTGCTGGGATTACAGGCATGAGCCACCACGCTCGGCCTATTTCAACCTTTTTCATTATTACTATATCTGCTATGGTGATCTGTGATCAGTAATCTCTGATATTACTATTGTAATTGCTTTAGGTGCCTTGAACCACGCCCAATAAGATGGCAAACTTAATGAATAAACGTGTGTGTTCTAACTGCTCCACTAATCAGCCACTCTCCCATCTCTCTCCCTCCCATTAAGGCCTCCAAATTCCCTGAGACGCAACAATATTAAAATTAGGAAAATTAATAAGCCTACAAGGGCCTCTAAGTGTTCAATTAATAGAAAGAGTTGTTCATCTCTCACTTTAAGTCAAAGGCTAGAAATGATTGAACTTAGTGAAGAAGGCACATCAAAATCTGAGAGAGGCCAAAAGCTCTTATGCCTAACAGTCTGGAATGCAAAAGAAAAATTATTGAAGGAAATTAAAAGTGAAACAACCTTATTGCTGATATGCAGACAGTTTTAATGTACTGGATGGAAGATCAAACCAGCCACATTTCCTTAAGTCAAAGCCTAATCCAGAACAAGATCCTAACTCTCTTCAATTCTATGAAGGCTGAGAGAGGTGAGGAAGCTGCAGAAGAAAAGTCTGAACTAGCAAAGGTTGGTTCATGAGGTTTCAGGAAAGAAGCCATCTCCATAAGATAAAAGTACAAGGTAAAACAGCAATGCTGATGTAGAAGCTGCAAGTTATCCAGAAGATCTAGCTAACATAACTGAGGCAGGTGCCTGCACTAAACAACAGATTTTCAGTGCAGATGAAAAAGCCTTCTATTGGAAGAAAATGTCATCTAGGACTTTCCTAGTCAGAGAGGAGTCAGTGGCTGGCTTCAAAACATCAAAGGCCAGGTTGACTCTCTTGTTAGGACCTAACGCAACCAGTGACTAACTTGAAGCCAATATTCACTGACCATTCTAAATATCCTAGGACCCTTAAGAATTACACTAAATCTACTCTGCACATGATCTACAAATGGAGCAACAAGCCTAGATGACAGCACATCTGTTTTAGCATGATTGACTGGATATTTTAAACCCATTCTTGAGACCTACTGCTCAGGAAAAACAATTCTTTTCAAATTGCTCATTGACAATGCACTTGGTTACACAAGTGCTTGGGTGGAGACGGATAAAGTGATTAATGTTGGTTTCATGCCTGCTAACACAGCATCTATTCTGCAGCCCATGAAGCAAGGAGTCATTTCAACTTTCAAGTCTTATTATTTAAGAGATATGTTTCATAAAGCTCTAACTGCCACAGTGATTCCTCTGATGAGTCTGGGAAAATGAAATTTAAATCCGGAATGGATTAACTATTTCAGATACCATTAAAATCATTCTGATTCATGGGAAGATGTCAAAATACCATCATTAAAATAGGACTTTGGAAGAAGTTTATTTCAACCCTCATGGGAGACTTAGATGGGCTCAAGACTTTAGTGGAGGAAGTAACTGCAGATGTGGTGGAAATGGCAAGATAACTAGAAGTGGAGCCTGAAGATGTGACTGAACTGCTGTAATATCATGATAAAACTTAAAGGATAAGGAGTTGCTTCTTAAATGAGCAAAGAAGAGTGGTTTCTTGAAATGGGATCTACTACTGGTGAAGATACTGTAAACATTGTTGAAATTACAACAAAGGATTTAGAATATGACATAAATGTAGTTGCTAAAGCAGTGGCAGGGTTTGAGAGGACTGACTCCAATTTTGAAAGTTCTACTGTGGGTAAAATGCTACCAAACAGCATCACATGCTACAGAGGAATCTTTCGTGAAAGGAAGAATCAATCAACACAGCAAATTTCACTGTTATCTTAAGAAACTGCCACAGCTATCCCAATCTTCAGCAACTCCTCTGTCAGCAGCTGTCAACACCAAGGTAAGACCCTCCATCTGAACAACTTGCTGAAGGTTCACATGATCATTGGTAGTTTGTTTGTTTAGAGATGGAGTTTCATTCTGCCGCCCAGGCTGGAGTGCAGCTGCACAATTTCGGCTCACTGTAGCCTCTGCCTCCTGGGTTCAAGCGATTCTCCTGCCTCAGCCTCCCAAGTAGCTGGGACTATAGGCACCCACCACCACACCCGGCTAATTTTTTTTTTTGTATTTTTAATAGAGAAAGGGTTTCACCATGTTGACCAGGCTGGTCTCGAACTCCTGACTTCAGGTGATCTGCCTGCCTAAGCCTCCCAAAGTGCTGGGATTAGCGACTTATTTTTAAATTAAGGTATGTACATTGTTTTTTAGACATAATGCCATTTCACACTTAACAGACTACAGTACAGTGTGAACATAACTTTTATGTGCACTGGAAAACCAAAAAATTTGTATGACTTGACTTATTACAATATTCACTTTATTGCCCCGGTCTGGTCCTAACCCTGTATATCTCTGAAGTATGCCTGTACGATCAAAATTTGTAAAGTCATCAGTCTCTGTACAAAAACAAATATTCAAACAAGTAAGTGTTCAAACTATGCAATGTACAATTTGAGAATTTTCTTCATACAGACGGTTCCCCCGCATTTGTTACCCACATTCAATGACGTTATCATTTCTCCAAAATACATTTAATAGCTGAAGTCACTCAGTTCACCAAAACTGAATTACATTCTCTGAAAGTACGGACAAGAAAACTCAATTATAGGACTGTAATGAAGGGCAAGGTCTTCTCCTTCCAAAATTCTGAGTGCATGAAATCAAATGTCCATGAAAGTGCTTTCTATGTTTCTCTAGTAACACAACGTGCTTTACTAGATCTGGTACAAACATAATTGCCATTCCAGATGACCCCATATACTTTGAAAATAGTGAAGAGATTTGGTTTAGTCATGCCTTACGTTTCAACAAATAAATATTTTTTATCGCTAATTTTAAATGTAAAATAAAAATAGTGTGACAGTTTAAAATGCCAATGCTTTTTAAAGGCATTATTTTGAAATTTGAGAATTAAAGGAAATATAAATGTAAACTGCTTCAAAAAAGGGTTATACAAATGTATGCTGTCTCTAAGTACAAGAAATCCATTTATTGTGAAAATAAATTCAATAAAAATCTTACGTTGCACAAACTGCTATCATCTAGTATATAAGTTTTAGCACACTTTACATAACACTGATTATATTGCAACATAATACTGTGTAGATATTAACAACAGGCTTTTATTTTCTGCTTAATAATTTTTTTTTGAGACGGAGTCTCGCTCTGTCACCCAGGCTGGAGTGCAGTGGCGCAATCGCCGTCGGCTCACTGCAAACTCCGCCTCCCGGCTTCACGCCATTCTCCTGCCTCAGCCTCCCGAGTAGCTGGGACCACAGGCGCCCGCCACCATGCCCGGCTAATTTTTTTTGTATTTTTAGTAGAGACGGGGTTTCACCATGTAATTTT